TCAATATTAGCGGCGCACAGTGTTGCGAGCTGGACAAAATAGAAAAAAGTCGATGTTGGATTAAAAAAACAATTGTTGGCAATAAACAGTAGGGACCTAGACATGGCCAAGTCTAAAATATCTTTGAAAAATACTAGCCGTTACTTATACTCTGGAGTCTTCAAACTCAACAACTTTTTAAACAAATAAGGAACGAATTCAACAAGAATTTAGGAGAGGAATGGGTTTTGCAGTGGATAGGATAATGGAAAATAAATACACAGTCATTCTCAGAACTATTAAAAGAAACATACGACTTTTAGCATTCCGAGAGGGTTCTTTCTGAATACGCACCGGAATCTAGGCGCAAGGAGTTTGAGAGTCTAGGTTAGAAAGAATTCTAGGGAAGCAGGCAATGTCCTTTAGCTACTTATTACTTACGTCAGAACCTTTAATTTCCGCTCTACGAAAAAATTATACCGAAAAGAAGAAACTGGGCGTGGCCACACGTGTATCCTTACGAAATTTCATATTTATTCTTTCCTAATTGAAAGTAGGACATAAATCGGAATAAGTTTACTATTTTTGTCCACAGCTTATAAGGGGATGCAACACTGTGCGGCGCCACCTTGCACGCACTGAAAACGGTTTTACAAGTCGGACCTACCACATTCCTGCTTACTTATAGGCTCTTATTCCACCTCCAACTCGCACTCAGGTGTTCCTTTTGCTTAAATAAGGAATATAAATGTTTAAACCTCTGCCGAACAATGCATTTTGATTGCGATAATTACCTGTTGACTGCGAAAATCTGTGCATCCTGGTCACTTCCTTCTAGACCACCAACATACAGTGTGTGCCACAAACTGATCATGATACATGCTGACATCGACTGTTTTGCAGCTCTATTGAACCACTGAACGGATCAGAATGGGCGTTTCTCCATTCTTTCAGCTACAACATTCACCTAAAAAATGCGCATAACTTAAGGGAATGCCCCATTGAAACCGTTGATAAAAACAAAATAGCTCATTTTCATTTGCTTCAAATCAGCTTCAATTCCCTAATAGCATAGCTGTTGTGCCGCTATTGCCGCATGTAGAGATGTGCTGAGTAGATACTCACTACAGAAATGTTGAATTTCTAATAAGAGGGCACAACAGCCAAAGTATGGAATACCCAGTGTTCATGGGAGCCTCGCCTAGGAAAATCCGAATGTAGGGACTAATAAAGTTTTTAATGCCGAGTTAGGCAATAAAAAATAGACAATGAAACGATGAGCTGGATGAGATTTACAACGACATGGACGTAGTGCAGCGAATAAAAATACAGCGGCCCCGCTGGCTTGGTCGTGTCGTTTGAATGGCCACCAATGCTCCAGTTCTGAAAGTATTCAAGGCAGAACCCTAAAAGGTAGAGGGAAGGCCCCACTGCGAATGGAAAAACCAAGTGGAGAAGGACTTGGCTTCACTTGGCATTTCCGTCATTTGGCGTCAGTACTCAGAGAAACGAAACGGCTGTTATGCTTCCTGCTATTTTGAACTCGGCCAAAATTGCTTAGGCCCGTAAAAAGTAGGTAGAGTTATTTCTGTCCGATACGGCAACTCAGCCGTTGCCTACCTGGCGTTCTTCATACAAAACCACGCAATATACTCAAACTTCAGTTGACAGTTGTGTCAGTTGGTTTGTTCCAACACTCAAAATATCAGAGAGTTGAAGTCGGTTTTTTTTTTGCTAAAACTTACTTGTGTTTTTAACAAATGAAAATATTTGGCGCGAGTTTTTGCCATTTAGTATTTTATATTTCCAAAGTATTCACAAATACTGACATTTTGCAATACTTCATAAATATTTAAAAATTCGCTCGTTCTTATCTAACTTTCAAAAGCAAGTTTATTCCTTTGACAGCAGATTTTTACTAGCCTGGGAGACACTGCTCTAGAGAAAACTAAATATAAAAACTGGCGCTGAAATCACTTTTGGAAGCACATTACACATCAACAGTTGTATTACAAAAATAAGTTTTGTCATACCGTGGCAACTCTATTGAAGTTCCATCACTGCGCTGATGAAATCCTTCGTCAACTGAAAAGACAAAGAGAGTTAAACATTTAAGAGATTCCCTTAAACGCGAAAAATGTTTCGAAAACCTCGAAACTTTTCCAGCCTCGAAAACTGTGGAGGCAAAATAGTTGCGAAAATAGCCTTGAAAGTTCGTTTGTAAGTTTCAATGTTGCATTTTGCTCAATAAGTTGATATAAGTTGTGTTTAATGTGTGACCAGCTGTCAAAAAACAAGAGAGCAACTCAGATCAGAAACTTCATGAAACACTTTTCAGGCAGAAATTCTCAAAACAGTTGATTGCGCTAAGCAGAGAATCGTGCTCTAAGTTGTTCTAGTGCCACTTAGCGCAAGCTCATGAGACAAAAAGTAGAGTTAATCAGAGCGAGAAAAATCCTCATGAAACACAATTTTGTGAGATATCTTAACGTGGCGTAACCTAGACACAACTATAATTTACATTTTTCACTTTTTCGTGGGATTTTGATTGTTTTCCTTTTTTTTCTACTTCAGCTGATCCGATATGTATTATGCAAAAGAAAATCTGACTGAACTGTCAAGTCTCCGATTTTCGCCATTTTTTTGTGTGGCTGCAAACAGGTGCATTCGCAAAAACAGCCTCGAAAAGTTTCGAAGTGCTCGAGTTTTCCAATTTTCGCGTTTAAGAGAATCCCCTAATTATTAATAATAAACAATAAAATTTAGTTCCACAATGAAGAAACTTTGTTATTTTATTTACCAATTTTGACAATTTATCCCTCCGAACAATACTTTAGCAGGTTTTGCCATGCTATAGCTTCANTATGTACATATTTGGAAACTGTATATAAAATCACGCACATACATACACACCAGCAGCCAACTCTCCTTACATCTGCGCAGAACGCCATATAACAAATGCGTATGTATGTATGTATGTATGTAGGTACTTGCATGGCTTGTTATGTACATTTTATTGCTCCATAAATAAGTAAATATTTACCACGCAGCTCCATTGCTGGCGTCCATTGGCACTCCGGGGCATGCGCTTAGCGCCGCAATTCCATATTCCCAACTGGCGTTCCCCTCCATTCGTTCACTTTTATAGCTGCACTGCTCATTACGGTTGGCTGTTGTTGGAGCTGATGGTGGTGGTGGTGGTGGTGGTGTTGGCGACTTTACTGAGTCTGAGCTGTGTTGCGGCTTGGACACCCTGTATGGCAGGAAAGCTTTTTACGCGCCTTCTGTGTAGCCTTCGATTCATATGTACATAGACGTAGTAAATCTCGAATGCCGAAGAATGCCGGATGCATTGAGATGTGAACGCGAAGGAATCGAAAAAGTAAAACATTTGTTATGAAAAAAATGTATTTTCCTTGTGCTGCTTTTTTTTATCGCTGTGGTGAACTTCCAGGGCTCTAATTTCCCGTTTAGCTTGAAGGCTCGTTTTCGATCCTGCGATTAGTTTCCTTTCNGCGTGCTTGGACGGCGTTTGTACCAATAATTTCATCCCTAGCATATTCATCCCCGAGGAAGGCAGTCGCCAAATTCACCGAAGGTTGTTTACTGGTTATATTGTGCTTTCTGCTGCTTTTCTTTGGTGCGTTGAAATTTTGGTTTTTTGACACTGCAAATTCCCCATACATACATACATACATACATGCATAAATATGTATGTATGTATGTGCGCGTGCATTGTACATGCATTCTATGCATAGATATTCTCATAATCTGTATGAAAGTATTTTTTCTGAATTTTGTATTGTAATATGTATTGGTAATCTAAGTGCCGGTTGTTCAATGTCGGGTTATCACTCCTCCTCCCAGTTAACCATTGGGTGCATTCCAAAATGTCAAAATACAAAGTATCAGCATTTTTCTGAGAACCTTAGCTCCTAAAAATTAGTAGCCAAGAAATCTGAAAATTGTAACCTCAAAATGTTTTTTGTAAATTCTCAACACGACTAGTTTTCACCGAAATACATCCTGTCGAAAATCACCGAAAAATTAGAACTTTTTATATGCCTACATTTATAGGTAAAGCAAAGCCAACATTTTTCTTCTTTACTTTCGAAACCAGATAAATGTTAATGTACCCCTACCTACAACTTGTGAACTCCTACTTTTATTTACGCCAACGTAGACCCCCGTCGAGTCTCCCGTAGATCCCTGGGCGTCCACATTGGGAATCACAGGTTTAAATTCATGTTTTTCTGGCCAAAACTAGTAGATGAATTAAAAAAATCATGATCATTTTTAGCCTTTCTTAGAAGTGAATTTAATGTTCTATCGATAATACAGCGTGAAAGACTGAATGCCCTTTATGAACAAAATGATTTATTCTTAGCGTTGTTTCAGGCCACATTGCCTCAAATCCCGCACGTCACCTTAGGCAAACTAGTAGTCCGGCTATTTAGAGCCATGTTGATTTTTAGTTGGCGTGGGTTGATATCATGGACAGGGTGAGAAAGTTGCGTATTTTGGAATGAATTTCTGTCTTACCTTATCAAAATTGTAATTTCTCGGCTTCGAAGAAGAATCTCTCCGCTCCGATTCATTCTCGCGCCACTTCCTCAATCTGATGTTGGAGAGAGTAATACCTGCTGTAGTCCTAAAGCCCGTTTATGCAAGGCATAGACTTGACTTACCTGGAAACTTAGGAACGATAACTCTGCGTGTCACCTATTACCTTTTCGCTTTGTTATAATTCTAAGCACCTGTATACAAACGTAAAATTGTGAACGTTTAATTTGTTAGGCTTAAAAATGTTTTTCGTTTTTTTTTTGTTTTTTTCAATTGCCAGATGATATTTTTGTGGTTATTTGGAGGGATTTTATTAAAGTATGTGAAAAAATTATATGGCAGCATGATTGTCTCACGGCTCTCTTTGCACTTAGAAACTTAACTTAAAGCCCAGTTATTCTAGACTTAACTTAATTTAACTTACCGTAAGAAATCATAAATGGTTACTCCAAACGGCAGCTTAAGCCAAAAGTGGAAATATTTTGTTTTTGTATTTTCTTTTTTATCCGTTTGACAGTTTGCCGCCCAAAGAGCCACATCAAAAAAAAAATTCATGCAAGAAAACAGCGGGTGGCCATTATGCATACTTTACAATAAAGTTTATGCCTGGTCATCAGAACATTCCCAGACATGAGGATGCTGTTTAGTTAGCTCTAGAGTAGTCATGCCCTTCCATGAAGTGCAAATGAGTGCGTTTGGAGCATTTTGCCGCCCTATATAAAAAACTTTTGTTTTGCAAATAATAGTCAACTGAATTTGTGAGGTTAAGAATTTAAGAGGACTTCACATTTAACATAGTCTAGGGTCGAATCTCAAGCGCCGATTTTCCTCAACTTCAAATTGTAGTGTGCTCCTTAATGCTGTAACACAAATGGAGGGACCGCCTCCGGACACCGGCACATGGTCTATGAAGTAAAACTTGTTAATCGAGTTCGGAGATGTTTTCGTTAACGCCGCGGTAAAGGCACTTCCGAGAAAAAAATATCCAAACAAAGGTGTGTATTTTTGTCCACAGAATCCAAATCTGTAGTAAAAACATAACTGTGCAATTTAAAAAAATTTACTTCCGCTCAGTTTGACACACTTCCGGTTCAAACCGGAAAAAAGTTTCAGACAAGAGGTATGTATTTTTATGCGCGGAATCCGAATCAGTGTCAAAAAAATTGTTTTCCGCTCAGTATAACGCATTTCCGGTCGAAACCGGACCAAAAGACAAGAGCGTGCTCGTCTTGGTACTTTATATTTTTTCTTTTTCCAATAAAAACGTTTAGATATATAAATGCGTGTCTGATATTAGCCTCGACAATATATTAAATTTTATCAACCCCTCATCCTTGGAAAACGAAGAAGGAGGGGTGGCCTATGAAGACAATATAAAAACCAAGCTCGAAAGGACCATCATTTGGTGTGAGAAACTGGCAGAACTTCTCAAACGAATGTTTTTGGTCTCGACTTCAACTGATAAAAAAAAAGAAAAACATCACAAAAAAGACAAGCAAGAACTATTTAACACTAACTTTAGCTTTTGTATGTATGTATGTATGTATGTAGATAAAACTTTTGGAGTTTCGTTTATATTTTGTGGCAACGGTGCTGTCATTGTCGATGTATTTACCTTTTTGGTGGTTTCTGGTTAAAATTGCGGTGGGTACACAAGCATGCATACATGATAAATATATGTATGTATGTGTGTGCATATGTACATGTATATACTATATCAACGCACAACAGAGAAAAACTGTTTAAAAAAGATTTTTTTATAACTAGTACGAATATAAAACGGACAACTTTTTAGGAACACACATAAATAAATAATAAAAAAAGAGTTATGCCAAACATTAGAAGTGTAAATGAGGAAAAAATGAAACATAATAAAGCTTGAAAAGAAAATTAATTTAAAGCTCATACATCCATATGTACACATGCATGTATGTACATTAGGGATGTTAGTCCCGGACTTAAAAAATTGAATAATATGAGTAACTCAGCAAATGTTTTAAAAAATTTTGTGCGATGTACTTAGGAAAACAGTATGGGTATCAAATTAAAGAGAAAATTTTGTAGAGAAAAAACAGATTAAATTTTTTGGTGCATAAGGTATTGAAGATGTCCTTAACAGTTGTATCCTTGAATATCCTTGAAATGTTGCAATATTTTTTTTTTTAATTATATGTTAAGGACTAATATAAACTCGACAAAGTCCTCGAATATAGTCCTTCTAACTTTATGAGTATAAAAAAATAAAATTGTAAACCCAAACAATTTTAATTTTTTTAAATCTTTCAGAATTTTTTCTTTCATTTGGTACCCATTTTTATTCAACATTACACTGAATTTTCTAGCATTTATCATATCTTTGAAACTGTAAACTTCTAATAAAAAAATTCTAAAACTAAACTCGCAGTTTTACTATATTTGGCCCATAGAGTCGTAAGTGTTGTTGTTTTGAAATTTTTTTGTTAACTGTTTCAATCTTTTTAGAATTTTTAGAAAAATTTTAGGTACGCATTAAATAACAGGAGGATAAAGTGCAAGTTTCAAGTGACTAAAAGTAACGTTAATTTTTTATTATTTTTTTGCTGGCGGTGTCACGCATTTTCTTCCATACAAAGTATGTTCGACAATTTGTTTATATGGAAAAAAATGCCCAGCATCGTTTAAAAAATTCAACGGTATTTTGTAACTGCATTTTATTCCTCAAATTTTTCTGAAAGTGCTGAGTAAAAAGTTTGAAATTTTGGAAATTTTTTTTTTGCACTTTTATAATTTTTGTACAAATTTTGAAATGCGCATTAAAATGGAATTAACTATATATGAAATGAGGTAGACTTTTATAAAAAAAATTTAAATATTAAATAAAGANGTGGTGATTTCCGAAATAGCTATCACTTCTACCATTTTTTCAAATTGTTGTTGCTTTTCCACAATAAATTTTTCATTAAAAATGGCCTCGAGCTCATTATAAAATTGTTGAATATAATTGTTAAATGGCCAAAAAATAACAAAAAACAAATAATTAAATAAAGAAAATAAAGAAAATAAATATATACTATACTGATTGAAATAAGGCGATTCTTTTATTTCTGTCACTAGTATTATGAACTTCTTTCAGCGACATAATACATAAGTTGACTTAAGTTTTTTTTTGCATCGAGCATTTTTCGACATGCCTTAAGTTACTTTATCAGAGATATACCCGCTAAAGTATTCTTAAATGCATATAAATTTAAATACTGTTTTTTGTTTTGTTACTAATGAAATATTTTTCAACTTAAATAGTAAAGCAAATTTCAAACCCATTTATTTATTATTTATTATGCGGTAGGAGAGAGCTTTCAAACTATATTGATGCAATTTTTTTCATGTTAAGTTGTTGGAAAATAATGAATATCTTAATCCCGGGATTGTATGAACGATATCCCGAAAATCCCGGAATCGCAAATATCGAAAAAATTAACAGCCCTAATGTACATACAAACGCGTGAAGGCAGGTACATAAGAGCGTTGTGAGAAAGGCAAGTGGGCTGGCACCTGGGCACCGGTGGGTATTAATTTATGTTCTTACGGCCACCGAGCAGCAATCGCCATGAATACAGGCATAAATACATATGTACATACTTACATGCATATCTACATATGCATAAGTATGTGGTCTTTATGTGATATGTATTTCTGACTTCATTTCTGTTGCGGCTACTGTTCATTTGTGATATGTCGCTCTATTCCTTTTTTGTTGTGTATTTTTTTTTGTGGCAACAAAAATAATAACCGCAAGTATAATAGCCAGAAATGCCACGCCAACAGCATTAGCAGGTTGCACGATTAAGTTTATATATTTTTTTGCTGTGCTCCAGTTCACCATTAAATGTTTCCTTTTTGTTTTGGAGCCAACGAATTTTTTGTTTCACTCATTTACTCAGTTTTTCGTTTGTTTAATTTTTCTCTGGAAGGGCATATACAAAGCTGGAGCTTTTTTTTCGGTTGGAGCTCAGCGTTGAATTCACCACACTTGCCCTGGTGGGCAGCGCAAAAAGCGCCAAAGCAGCCGAGCTCCACAGCAGCGCTGTAAACTGGCGCTTTTGGTGAATTTGTAGTGCGGCTGTGTCGCGAGATGTTAACGACATGCAGCAGCAGCAGCAGCAGCAGCAGCTGAAGCAGCAACACTGGCTCCAACGACAATTTCTGTGCTGTGTTGGAATTACAAAATTTAGTTCGAGACCGAATTCCCTGACGAGCGTACTGAATATCGCGGCGAATACATAGCGTGGCAAAAGACGTTTGGCTAATTAAAAAAAAAACAAATTAAGTACATACACACATATGTATGTATATAAAATTGTGTTGCCTTTTCCACATGTCACTGTGTGTATGTGTGTGTGTAGAGAGTGTGCGAAATTGCTGCAGAAAATAAATATTTGAGAAAAAATTAACTACCAGCTAATTAAAAAGGTGAAATGATTTCATTTTTTCAATTTCTTATATGTTAGGGTGGCTGAAAATGCAGCGATTCTCAACAAAAAGGATAAACTGAAAAAATAAACTTCCAAGCCGCCGAGCGAGTTGTTGAAAATATTTTGTGAAAAAATCAATTGCAAGCATCAAAATGGAGTGAATATCTACGCTTGGCCAACAAATTTTTTTATGTTTTAGTTGCAAATTTTTCGTTTACGAAGCGGCGAGCAGCAAAATCCTTCAAATCCTTGAAGCTAGAAGTGCGAAACTGTATTCGAAAGAAAGTGGAATTGAAGAATAAAAATTAGATTTAAAAAGTAAAAAGTGGCACCTAAAAAGTCTAAAAAAAAGTAGATACATACATACATAAAAAAAAAAATGGAAAATTAAAAAACTTAAATTAAGTGGAACTCGACGACAATAAATACATCCATAAATGCCCACTTATATACATATGTACATACATACACATGTTTGTGTAAGACCTTAATTTTAAGAAAAAATAAATAAATCAATTACCTATAAACTTTACAAGCAACGGCGACAATAATTTTGCAATTGCGAAGAAGAAGAAGATTTAAAAAAAAACAAAATCATTAAATTATATATGTAAATACATAACTTTAAAAATTACAAAGTTATTAAAAGCAGCATACCAACAACTGAAGCACCAGATTTCGTTCAAGGATTATACAATTTCTGCATACACGCCATTTTGAAAAGTTCTACGGCCCGAGTAGTGCTGCAAGAGCTCCAGCTGCAGTGGTGGCAAACACAGCCACAGCAACAGCAACAACAACAACTACAACTACAAAACGCAGAGTGGGTGGAAAATATGAAATTTGAAAGGCTGCCGCTTCAAGTGAAACTCAACAGTGGCGACTAAAAAATTGTACCGACTATTAACTATGCATATATAAATATATATTCACCGTAACAGCAACAAAAATACACACATACATCCCTAAACGTATTGCTGTATACACACACGCTCGAAAAACGAAGCATAGTTGGGGGCGCTTTTAAGAAAAAGGACGCTGGCCGCACACACCAATACGGTCGCAACAGAAAGACCATCAAAATAAACGATTTCTCGCCTATTTCCGTTTGTTCGTGTTGGTGAGCTTCGTAGGTACATAAATATATTGGCGTTTGTAGGCGCGAGCGTGCGCGCGCGTGTATATACCTGTAGGTTTCTGTGTGTGCGTGTGTAAGTTTTCCCAGTACGTTCATGTGTGCGTTGCAAGGCAAACAAACGTTTACTATTACTACAATACAACAACAACAACAACGAAAGCAATAATAACGACTAGTGGCAACAAATCAATGAATACAAAATTGCCCCATCAGCGCCATTGCTAGTAGACGGCAATCGGTAGAAGAAGAGTAAAACGCAGCAGCAGCAGCATAAAATATTGAAAATCAATTCGCAGCAGTCACAGTTATAAATCACAGTTATAAAATTTAATAATAAACTTTTTTTTATCTACCAAAATCGCTACATCCAGAACTGCGCCACCCCCTCCCTACAACTCCTCCGCTCACACCAAGCACCTTCAAGCGTGCAGTTGCTCCGCGTTACCAATTGCGGTAATTACTTTCGGTTTACGACGCGTTTCGCTTGCTTATCGCGTATATATACACATAACGCGATTCGTCACGCCCACTAAAACAAAATGTCGGGCGCGTATTTAACGAACGTTGGCGCGTTGAAATCGCTCCGTCAGGGAATGGATAAAGCAGCAGCAACAGCAACAGCAACGAGAACGATGTCTGCGCTGGGTAAAGATCGTAGTCGCCGCCGCTCTGCAGAATGCACAATCGCCGCGTATAGAGTGCTGCACAGGTCAACCGTTTGCACTCTCATCGGCCTCGTCGTTCTACTTAGCTGCCTCGTACAAAATGGTGAGTTGATATTGAATTGTTATGCCAATTAGAGTAGAATCTTTTTGTAATTAAAGTAATTTTATTTATCAAAGCAAATACTCATCTACATATGTGCTATAAGCAGAGAACGGATTTTATGGAAATTGCCTTTTTTTTCTGCTAAAGAGATACGAGTATATTCGATTAAGAATTTCCACGATTTAGCTTTCCCTGAATCCACAAATACACATTTGATTTTGCCTTTTTTGCCTTTTCTATCTTATATCTTTCTATCTTTAATTGTAAGAAAAAGCAAAGAAAAATCCCTTATTCCTCATAATCAGCCTCATTGCGTAGGTCGTAAATTAGGCTAAATTTTACGAGTCGACAACATTGGCATTGTCTACTGCCGTACTGAAATAACTAAACGACAAAAATAGTCGAAAACTATGCAGTGCTGCCAAGTTTTTCTGTCAATGACATGAAATTTTCGATACGATTGGACTCTCGAAAATCGTTTTGCATTCGACACGACTCTCGCAATGAGGTTGAATATGAAACTTTGAAACGTTACATATTTAAAATGGGCGCCACTTGTATCAATTCACGTCGAGTGCTATTGAAAACCGAAACGATAAAAAAATCGATAAGGCGGAAATAAACCTTAGATACCAGCGTCTGAAAAAATCTAACATTTTTTGCAACCATGAAAAAATTAAGCACTTTCGGAAAGTAGAAAGAAAAAAGATCAAGTCACTTGCGGTGTCTATGGGGGAAAAAAAACCTTAAAACGCCTATGCTGAATCGATCAATATGTAGAATATTGTCGAATTAGGTTTTAGAAAATTAAAATTGCGGATTGCTTTGAAATTTTTTTTTTATATTTTTATGAAATTTTATATCCAAAGGTCCTTTGTTTCGCTGATTACAAAAATTAAACCAGTTTTCAAAATTCAAATAAGCGGATATAATATGGTGGCTGGATTTTTTAAAAATTTTCAGATTTTTATGTAATCTGGCGCCGCTAATTAAAAATTGCTAAATTTAAACGCAATTCGGACTCATATTAGTTTAAAATTGCATCAAAAGAATGGTAACAATTTTTAAGACTGTTCTCTTTTTCGTTTATGTATAGGCGTAGTCTTTATATATATGTATAAACTTAAACAAAAAGTTAGTCACACATTTTAAATTTTCCAATTTTGAATTTAGTTTTGTAACTATCCACCACTAATCCGGCAACTTATATGCGCCATTTGGAACTTTTGAAAACTGTTTTCAGTTTTATAATCCGCGATTCAAAGAGCTTTTAGAAATAAAGTTTCTCAAAAATCTGACCAATTTTCTAAAACTCCATCTGACATATAATATATGTATATATATAATAATACCCTTGTGCACAAGTGCGCTTGAGTATAAAAACTGATTTCATTTCACTAATCAGCGACTCAAAGAAATTTAAAATTTCATAAAAATTGACCTTCTTTAAAAATCCATCCGCCATTTTGAATTTTTGAAAACTGATTTTAGTTTTGTAATCAGCGACTCAAAAAATCTTTGTATATAAAATTTCGTAAAAAACCCATTCGCCATTTTATATTTTTAAAAACTGATTTCAGTTTTATAATCAGCGACTCGAAGAATCTTTAAACATCAAATTTCATAAAAATTGGAAATTTCTAAAAATCCATCCGCCATTTTGAGTTTTTGAAAACGGATTTTAGTTTTGTAATGAGCGACTTAAAAAATCTTTGTGTATAAAATTTCGTAAAAATCTGAATTTTTTTTTAAATCCATTCGCGTTTTTATATTTTTAAAAACATATTTCAGTTTTATAATTAGCGACTCAAATAAACTTTAGAAATCAAATTGCATTAAAAGTTGAAATTTTTAAAAATCCATCCGCCATTTTGAAATTTTGAAAACTGATTTTAGATTAGTAATCAGCGATTCAAAAAAATCTTTGTATATAAAATTTCGTAAAAATCTGATGTTTTTATTAAATCCATTCGCCATTTTATATTTTTTACAAACTGATTTCAGTTTTATCATTAGCGACTTAAAGAAACTTTAGAAATCAAATTACTTTAAAATTGGAATTTTTTAAATATCCATCCGCCATTTTGAATTTTGGAAAACTGATTTTAGGTTTGTAATCGCCGACTCAAAAAATCTTTGCATTTAAAATTTCGTAAAAATCTGTAGAATTATGTGTTTTTGAATGACTATTTTTCATTCGATTTCAAAGATCGAATATAATCTCAGGAGAGGCCTTTAAAATGATATATAATAATCTATTGTCGGACTAGGCTCGTGGGGATTTTTTATCGCGTAAATTTAAAAAAAAAAATATTTTCTCTTAATTTTTAAAATTTTGTCCATCCATAATTTCTACAATTTCAAAATATTGAGGACTATCTAAAATTAAATCTATTTTCATATAAACTGATACCTCATTTATTGCAATCGCATAAAAATTGTCCAATTAAGGTGACTTTTCAGATTTGTGAACAGTGTGGCTAAACGTATAATATTAGGGTGGTCTTTAAATTTCCAAGAAAAAGCATTTTGGATGGGCACCCTAATTAGTATATGTATGAAGGTTTAATAAAAAAAACTATTGGTGCCTTTAGCTACAATTTGAACATCTCATTTTTCATTACACCTTCGACTTTTTATTTACCCCACTGAAAGGTGTCAATTGATTATTTCACTTCAAAAATGAAGAATGGTCGATAACAACAATCGTTTCAGTTAAGTTTACTGCAGCAGAACAATTTCTTTTTGACGTACATACATATGTACATTGCTGAATGAATAATACAAAAAGCAGACTATTTAAGGAAAGGCAAAACGTGAAAAAGAAACAATGAATATATTGCATGTTTACTTAGCATTTTAGCATTCATATGCATTGACTTAAATAAATTTTGTCTGTACGTACATGCATATGTATGTAAGTTTTCACTAATTTGAAAGTTGCTGTTTGTTGGCGCGCGAAAGACCTAAAAAGGCTGTCAACAGCATCCGGCAATGCGTTCGCATTCCATGCTTACAAAGTATGCTGTACTAGACCGCTAATTAAGCGTGCATACATACCCTGTAGGGAAATCTTTAGTTCTGAATTGGGGCGCTTCTGGAACATTTAGACCCAGTACTGGTTCGCGATAAATCTCTTTTGCATGCAAGCAACTGGCGAATTTAACATGGCGATGTCCTAGGAAGTGTAAATTGCCGCCCGCTGCATCCCTTTTTCGATAGTTCCGAACTAGTCCTAAATTCTATAGTTCCGAACCAGTTCTGAAATCGACAGACGAAAGAAAGAAGTATCATGATTTTTCAATCATTTCTGTTCTTCCGTGTGTGCGATTTCAAGTTATTTTGGAAGAAATGTGTTATCAATTTGAAATTAAATTTGTTTTAATGATTGTAAGAAATGTACGTTTACATACCTTTAGCTGTAGCTGA